AAAGTGAGTGGGCATCTGGATTTCCTTGTGTGCAGCACAGATGCTGATTGTTCCTGCCAGGAGTGGCCATGGGTCTGCTTCTGAGAGTCAGAAGTTTTCAGGTTTTGAAAACAGAGCCACACAGAAGGCCTTGGAGAAGGAAGTTGCACGGAGTTTGCAACAGCTCACGTAAAAATGAAACTCACTCTGGAGCGTTCGTGAACTGTTAGATGTTCACTTCTTCTTTGGCAATTTCTTCAAGAAGCCTGAAGAAGTACAAAAAAAATCGTGGTAGCTTCCCAGGGGAAACCCTGGTGAATGGTGAGGCTTTGTTTGTTTGTCTTTCCTGAGGCAATATCACATGCTGCTCTTAAATCTGGTGGGGTTTGTATTTATACCGAGATGGAGGCCATCGCAGGAAAGGATGTGTAATTCAGCGTGACCCTAGCAGGGCTTCCCAAGTGTATTGCTGGGCCTCTTCTGAAGGATGACTCCAGAGTTCAGAAAGGTTACATGTAAATAGTTCAGTTGAAGGCCAGAGTACTCAGTGCATCCTACTCAGAGAGGAGAATTTTATAAGTTTATTAAAAGAAGTTGATTGAACAACTTTATTTCAGCATTTTGGCTGCCACTGTGGTAGAGGAGTTCTGCACTGCTGTGACAGCTTTGAGTCGGGGCTACGTAAATCCATGGTGAGGCCCCTGTGCAATAAGCCAGTCCGGCTGCATCCTCTACACCATGTCTGAACACCAGCTTGAAGGGGTTTTGTAGCGAAAGGAAGCTGAGGTGCCACGTCAAGGATCCTCAACAACAGGACCTTCTTCGCTTCTCGCCAGTCTCCAGGGCTTGGGTTCTGGGGTCACAAGACCTCACTTTGTTTTGCATACCTTGCATAGTGTAATTACCTGGTACAACACCATGATGGTGATAATTTCACCAGTTTAAGCCCAGTATTTCCCTCCTGTGGTGGTTCCTCACATGCTTGAAATGTGAACGCCTCAAAGTGTTTGAAGAGATTTGTAAAGCAACGTAGTTCAGTGCCACCTTGAGCAAGGCATTGTGCACGAATTGAGGATGTTGCTTGAAAAAAAAGCTGGATGATCTCCCTTTATTCTTTATCCCCACATTCAGAAAGAATCATGGGCAGTGGCAATAAACATGTCCAACAGGAATGAAATGGTGTTAGCTTTTCAGAACATTTCAATCACCTCTTTCGATTAGCCTCAGCAGACAGGGGCTTGTGCGCTTTTTTGCCTTGTCCGCCGTGAATTGAAGTGGTTGTAAATTGGCCGTAAATTCATCTCCTGGGCATGCAGGGTTAGCAGTGACACAGTAATCCTTGTTATACAGTAGGACGGAATGATTTACCAGTGTAATGCCAGCAACTTTGGAAATGTCAATAGTACCTTTCTGCGGATGACTCAAGCATGATTAAAACGAAAGCAATAAAGAGAAGGGAGGAAAGGCAGGGGGCTTATTTTTAGGGCCAGAAATATCTCATAAGCAGACATGCGTGGCTTGTTTGGACAGCATTTATAGGTCGTGCTGGTTTTCTTTACAAAAACAGGCTGTGCTGTACTCCATCGTCTCCACTAACACACCTGAAATAAATCACTCACTATCAAAAGCCTCTGTAAATAATTGGGATGTAACCATGATTTCAAGTGAGTTGCCACTGTAGGGACATTGGGCAATTGGTGTTAAATGTAGGCACGCTTCTCTCTCTGGACATTCATTAGATGCCTTTAATGCATATAAGATAACTCAAGAGAGGATTGATTTTTACTTTGGGGATTAACATCATGAGAACTGGCCCTTGAAGTAGTTTCCACTGAAACAGAGACTGAATTCTCATCGACTTCAGCATGAAAACAGTCTGACCACAGCTCCTCCAGTGCTTGGTTTTATTGTTTTGGAAATATGTTTCTTATTAGAAAGTGTTTGCTTTAGTTAATAATATTTACAGAGACAAAGGGACCGGGGAGGTGGTTAATAATTGGCAGAAGTTGATAGTTTTCATAACGGAACAGAAGATTCTTTTATTAATCAGTGGGAAGAAGAACAGCAGAGGGATTAGAGAGAAGCAGGCCAGCTAAGTAGCTCTGCTAATTGCGTGCGACTGCAAATGAAGCAGCAGAGCCGTGCTGGTCAGCTGGGAGTCAGGACCCCACGGCCTGAGAGCATCCAGCATCGCTCCTGCTCGCCTTGCCAGTCCCCACGGTGAAGCTGTAAAAGCGAACGACTGTAGCAGCCTCTAGCAAAGAGCACGGACGAGCACCAGCATACACGCCAGTGAGGAATAAACCAGCAGCAGTGGTGCAGATGACAGATAAATAAAAGCCTATCTCCGCTCAGATCTGATTGCCTGTAAATCAGAACGAATTGCTCCTACCAGAGGTGGTGACAGACCAAAGCCAACATCAGTTCTTACGGCGCTCGCTCATTCTGCTCTGCTGGTGAGCAGCTTGCAGTCTGCTTTGCGGGGAGGGCTCTTCCAAGGGGGGATGCTTTTCCCGGAGTGGTGCATACTGACAGCAGGCAGTGATGGTAGGTGAGAGTGCTGTCACCGCTTCAGGAATTTTGTGCTCTTAGCAGCATTTTTAATGAAAGAGGCGGTGGGAATTTAAAGCAAATAGACTATATCCATGTTCGGATGGCTGCCTTCGCGTGGAATCTTCTGAAACGCAGGAGGCTCAGATGGTAAATTTGGTAAATTTAAAGTTTTTTTTTTATTTAATGCCCTTGGAATTCAAATTTCCTCCAGGGTAATGTTTCCAGTTTAATTGGGAAAGTTGTGGCATTCCATGAGCTGTGAAGCTACGGCAGAGGAGGAGAGGAGAAGGCACCTCTGTAAAGCTCTCCTGCTGCTTGGCTCTTGGTGTTATTGTTGGCACTGCAGCAGCCCGGGGCTGCACGGGGGGCATGCACGGCTATACCCCATGACAGGGTATTTTCTCCCAGGAATATCCTGACCTCAGCAGAGGAAGCAATTTCACTGGCAGGCTGAAATATCCCCAGTGACTCTGTTTGATTATGTCTCTGGTTTACATTTGCATTCCAGGATGAGGAATGTTTCTTCTACAGGACTCAAGGGTGGTTTGTAGAAGCTAAAGCTATTTTGGTGTCTGTCTTCCTCTTCTTTCTTAGTAGGTACTGGGGCTGGAGTAAGAAGGGACTACTATTTCAAAGTCAGTTTGTATTAGACATTATAAAAAAAAAATGGAAACAAGAAAAAAAGAAAGCAATGAGATGTGGGAAAATCCCAGCTGTTGAGCCAGAGCCAGTATAAATCAGTGTAAGGTTGATTACACTGCACACGGTAAGGTGGGGGATGTTGGGCTGATTCACAGTAACTGAGAATTTGGCACCCAGTTCATCTGTGAAAAATAATGGGAGATGGAATTAAAAGCCACAAACTAGTTCTTTACAATATCAGCTTGATGCTTAATGCTACTCCAGTGGAGCAAAAAATGACACATTTTAATAATTTATGGCTTTTTCAAGAAAAAAACAAAACACACAACAGTGACTAACTATACAGCTAAAATCCAAACAAAGCAGCTAATTTGCAACGTTTCAATCACTTTTAGCAATGCATTTCTGGAAAACAATTTTCTATTTTAGTGGTTATGGAAAATTAATCAAATGTTTGATGATTTGTATCCCGCTGTCGTTGTCTTCCCTTCATTTCTCGGCTCTGCATTCTTTAATTTCAGCAAGTGTCATTTCTAAAGGGAACAGAATGAGCAGGGGGCCTCCCACCTACATCTACAGGTCTTTTATCGGTGTTTTTAAATGACTGTTCAGTAGGTAGGCTGCTACAAGCCTGTTAAATTTACCTGCTAACTACTGTCAGCTCCTTCTTCAGACGCGGATGGAGATGACTAGAGCATTTTGATACATATGCATGAATGTACACGTGTGTGTGTATGTATGTATGAGAAATACTTTGGCACCAGTTCAGGATGGGACCAGCAGTTTTTTTACAGACAATATTCTAACCCCCCTGTGCAGTTTAATGGACAGCCACTCCATTCATACAAGATGGAGATGATGGGTAGGTGACGTTTTCTCTTTAAACATCTGGGATTTAGCATTAAGAGCTCCAATTCTCTCTAATAGCTTCTGTGGAGTATCCAAAAACTACTAAAAGGTTATTTAATTTTCTCAAGTCCGTAGGGATTTTCTGGGGGGGGGCTGAGCAAGACTGCCTGTTGATTCTCTCAGCAGCTTCCACAATGTGATAGGACTAGTAAAGCCCTTTGAATTTCCAGGAGTGTGTACAAATGGTTTTGTTGTGCTTGCAGCTTGTCTGGCTTTGCTTCTGCCCTGGATAGGGCAGATTATATCGTAGATGATCTGGATAGTGGTGTTGTTGTTGCTGTTGTTTTAATAAAATCTATCAGAAAGCCTTCTAGGTCTTTTCCTAATCTGTGTTACGCATTTATTCGCTATTGCCGTACTATCTGTGTGCTTCACTAACTGTAATGCAGAGGAACGAGTTAGGGAAAGGCTTTTATCTCCTACTTTGTAAGTGAGGAATGAAGAAGGAAGGCAATGAAAAGTAACAGGCTTTAAGAAATTGTTTCGACGAAGATGATGCAGGATGTTGAGACAAAGTTGGATGCCACACATCGAGACCAACCCGTAAGATTTCTAACTGCGATGGAGTAGCAGAGGCAGATAACCAGATATCTTCATATATCACAGGGAATCCTGAAGTCAGGGGCAGCAGAATGCTGGCTGCAGTAGGAGAGACCCGTCCGTACATGTGTGTGACTGGTTTACATTGCCTTGTGATTGACTCTAGTGAAAACAAAACTCTGCATGTCGCAGTCTCATCTTCTACTTCGTCTTGCGAGGCAGATGAAACAGGATGTTTTTGGAAGTTTTTTATCAGAATTAAGCTAATAACTTGCTTGAAGTTGGAAAGCAGCTGGGAGGAGGAGGGGACGCATGGGGTGAACATGTCCTGCTCTTGTACTCATGGTTTCCTCTCTTTTTTTTTTTCTCTTTTGCAGTGAGTATGTTTTTGAACACGTTAACCCCCAAGTTCTATGTTGCCCTGACAGGCACCTCCTCATTAATCTCGGGACTTATTTTGGTAAGTACCAGATACATTAATATGACTTTACAAATTGATTCATGCAGAATGGGATTTTAAGCTTTGATGAGATCAATGGGTGTCGTTTTTGTTTTCTAAGCCTACATTTTGCAGCACGTAAATTTTGCCCTTCTATTTCTGTTTAAAAAAGAGAGGAAATGCTTCAGCACTATATTTCTTTGAAGAAAAAAATCTTGAAGGACAGTGTGCCCTGCTAACAAACAACCCTATAATACATCAGAACAAGTGCTTGCACATTAAGTGCTTCCATTGACAAGTACTACAGAAATAACAGGAGTGGTGAAAAGAAGAGGAGGAGAGGCACCAACTCTCTCAGCTTCGCTTGCTCAGTTTAGACAGTTGCAGCAGGATTTCCTAGAGAAACAGTGACTAGAATATCAGCAACATGCCTAGTTTTACTGCCACAATTCCAAAGGCAGATTATTTCACATCTTCACTTTAAAAATCTTTCTCAATGCATGTCTGCCTATTTGTTAAAAGGTCTAAAGAATATTTTCAAACCACTTAAAAAAAAACAAACAAACAAAACCAACCTCCTCCCATGTATAATCCCTGAGGGCTTCATCGTGCAAATCGATGCAGGGGACTGAATCACAATGCCATCACAGCGCAGGAGTCGAAAACAGAGCATTTGCTCTGGATTTTATTCAGTGTCTTCACAGAAACAAACTGAGGTAAAAAAGTCCAACAACCTGCAAGATGTTCTTTGGGTATTATGCTTACGCTGAGTAAAGCTGAGAGTGGCTTTCTGCTGACACAAATGAAGGTCAACACCGGGGGCTGGTTCATGTCACCATGTATCTGCTGACCTCAGAGGAGCTCTCATTTGCACACTGCTTGTTGTAGACAAAGAAATGCCATCCTTCACTCCTAAATGCCTGTGAGACTCTCATCACTTGGATGATTTCAGGTATAAAGCATCAGGTGCACTGCTGCTCTGCCTTGCTCTGGGGTTTGCTTATGGCAGAAAGCAATTACTTAATGCCTGCACCTTGGGCATTCAGCATGACTGCATGGATCGAGCCCCAAAGCACAGGATGGAGCTCTGGAGACATCCGCAGTTCTTTCAGAACATGAACACTGAGGTGCAGCAGCCAGACCTGCAAGACTTGGTGCAACAAAACGCACAGGAGGAATGTTAAATTCAGTTATCTCAGTAATCTCGCGCAGAAAGGAGAAGCATCAAAAGGCCAGGCCTCACGAACAAGATGAGGAGTGAGGGAAATACATGGGTTCCACAGGCACAATCCCATATTTGTTGCTGGACATTGAAGACAGCTGGAGGAAGTGGCAAGGAAAAAAATAGTCTGTATCTATGGAAATACGTTACAAAATCAAACAGGAACAAAAACCTGAGAGAGAGGCTAGATTATTTGTAACTAAAGTGCCTGTGTATAGCATGATAGCAAATGTAGTTACATTTTGTACTGTAGTCAGGAAGGCAATTTCCGAGGAATGAGCTCAGTAGGAGACTTGTGAGCAAGAAATTGCTAAGTGCGGTGCTTGGATGGAAAGTGCAAGAAGCAGGTGGCAAGTTGCATTCATGGCTGTGATATGGTAAAGGGGTAAAGGGCACCTACAGAAGTCTTCCAAGAAGAGATGAGACCGAGTGAGCCTTAGCCAGAGAAATTTCACTAACTGGTGCATGACAGAGTCCTTTATGAATAAATTAAAGGAACAGTGTGGTGATGGAGGTGTAGACAAAGACTGAAAGAAGACTGAAAGCCTGTTTTGTGTTGAAAGCCTTTTTTGTGGACCTTCACTTCTGCTGTCAGTTTTTGCTGCTTATACGCCACCATCCTAAACATGCAAAAGACACATAGGCCGGGCAGGTGACAGTCAGGAACCCTAGGCTGTAGGGAAAGTGTATGTGCTGAGAGGAACATGTGATCTGTAAACTGGATGATGGAAAAAGAACTCAGCAGGGATGGCCATGGAAAAAAGAAACTGCAGCTTAAGTAGACCATGGAGAATGGTCATCATCAGGATCATCATCAGGAAAGACAACAGGGCAAGTTCCATTGAGGTAGTGCTAGCCAGTCCCTATCCCAATTACGCTTCAGATTTATTATTTCATAACAATATTGCTGTTTACCAATGGCCCTGTAACATGCTGAATTGCTTACAATGCCACCCACTTACCTGTCATGCAGCATCTGTAGTTCTGAAGGGTTCTGAAACCTGCTGGTGGTATTAAATTAAACCCTTTCATAAAACAAACATTCTCCTCTCAAATCTACATCACTAGGGTATCTGTCAGAATAGATGTACTGATAGTTCTTGGAATTTTCCACCATATGGTCTGGCAGATTTGTTTCCACTACTGGTGGGCTGCAATTCCCAATCAGAAGGAGAAATCACAGCACAGCAGGTTATGAAATGAAGGAAAATTCCATCATTTCAGAAGTGTAGTGACCAATGGGAAAGTGAATGCTTTTTCTGTTTCATGTTTGGATCATGAAACAATGACTCTGCAGAGTTCAGCTCTGGGGAATTGCATGCTACGTGACTCCTTTGCAGAACAGTGCTCTCCTGTCTTATTTTGTCTCTTACTTTGTTTTCATTCTTTAGGTAAAATTCTGGCCTCACTGTAGATGATGCGATTTGAAGCAAAGATGTCAAACCCTTTTTCTTTTCTGGGTAGCTCAGAACAGTACAGAAAAGTCTTTTCTATCTCAGCCATTCTCCTTAATAATTACTTTACAGCACGTAGTTTAAAATGAACAACTTAGCATCCTTTGAATTCACCCCAGCACCTATTTTTGACATTAAGAATAGGAACTAAATTAAGTCCCAAACTACATACAAAATATTATATTGGAAACTTGGTTCCACAAGAGTTACTTTTGATTCAGTGAAAAACAGGGCTCTGTCTCAGAGAATCCAGTGGAGCTGTGTTGTAGTTGGTGTCAAGAGGCTGAAGTTTGCCACAGGTAGGGTACCATGGAACACGACTGATGTCAGGTAAATGCTGTGAACTGCAGCTGTGTTCCTAAATGCCACCGAGGTTTCTCAGTAAGGCTGCATATTTGTTACCCCCAGAGTGAAAGTTGTTGTGGCATTTGGACTGCAAGCTGATAGAGTCTGGGTTAACAAACCTCAGGCAGCAGTGAGCCCCAGTCTCGAAGCTCCACCAAGAATGCCTTATTATTCCCTGGCAGAGCTTGGGGAAAATAACAAGTTTTCTGCTTTTTTGCAGCTGATGGTGCTAGTGCAGGAAGTCTCAAAGAGGACACAAATTATTTCTTGTTGATATTAACTGTTATTCTGTGTTTATTTATTTGTTCTGCTACCTTTGTGTAGTCTGCTGCAGAGGGGCAGAGAGGTGCCTGAATTCTGGGTGTTCCCACAGATTCTGTGGAAGTCTGACGTTTGCACAGGGACAATCTTTGGCAGCTGAAGACTGATACGTGGTAATTGTTCAAAGCTTCAGCTCTGCTCAGTGGAGGCTGGCAGGTTGGGGAGGGCAGAGGCCTTGTAGGGAGCTCCTGAGAAATTGGAAGCATTTGCCAGGTAGCTGATGAGAGAGGAGGGATCTGCAGGATGGCAGCCTGTAACCTGCTGAAGGCATAACAAGTGGCACCTACCAAGCACTGAGAGAAGTCCTGTGGTTAGGCCAGGCAATATATTATTTTCTTTTCCCTTTCTTTGTTTTCAGAGGCAGGTAAAATGTAGGTAAAGAGTTATTTTGCATAAGGTGGTTGCTAGCATCGCAGACAAAGGGGCTTTCTCTGTTGAAGAACAAGTAGCATTGTATCATCACATCCGTATGGATAAACACTCTTGCTTCCCAAAGCAGGATGATCTTCCCCATACTGTCTACTGGGAACAGCCCCTGGGCTGTGATATCCCTTGAACACGTCCAGTCATTGTCAGGGAGAGTTGGTGCAGGCCGGGCAGTGTGCTGACAAATAAACAGCGTGGATGACAGAGCCAGTCCAACACGTGCTGTGCTCCTGTTTTATTTATCACAGGGGCTTAACCATTGAATGCTCTGCTGTCATCATCCTGCTCCTCAAGGGAGTAAGCCTCATTTAGATCCATTAGATTGGTTGTTACCGCCCCTCATATTAGAAGAGCATTCCAAATCTGACTCCTCAGAGACCCGGATGTCTAATTAGAAGTCTGAATGAGAGCCCTGAGCTGTGGAAGTTGCCTGCAAATGAAATTCTTTACTCTTTCAGCTGAAGACTCAATATGCACACTGGGAGAGGACTACGGAGAGTAGTCACTGTAGAGAGGATGCCTGTCTTGGATATGATAAACAGGAAAGCGTAATTCAGACTGCTGATAGATGTATTTGGTCCAGTGAGAACAGCCATCAAAACCGTCCCTTGTGGACTGATGCATTTCTGGTGGAGTATCTGCTCTGAAAATCGAAGAGGGAAGATCAGATAATCCAAGGGATGCAGAATGGATTTGTTGTTGCACAGAGAAATAAAACAATCTGGGATTGTGAGATCTCTTATGTGAGAGCAGAGATAAGACAGAGAGGAACTGTGATGTTTTCATCACACAGGGGAAGTACCTGCATAGAGAAGCAAAGGCAAAAAAGGTCCATAACAAGTATCTGAAATGCTTTCAGATTTATGAGTGATTAACCAGCTTTTATTTGACCCAAATATCTTTGCTGCATATGAGCTGGTTTTTTTGTTCATAGCCATGCACTTGTAGAAGTCATCCTTAAGGGTTTTCCAAAGTCAAATATTCTTACATTAAGCATGACCCCTACCAGACTGAAAAACAAGATTTCTAGATTTGGACTTCAAAACACAAAGCTGAAAATGTTCAGAACAGGTTTTTAACTTGGCCTTTGTGAAGGTTTAAAGATCCTTTGAGAGTCTGGAGTTGTGTGACCCTGATCAGATATGAAAGAACAGGCATCAGCTAGAGAGAACCCAGAGAAATTTGCTACTGCTGTGAAGATGAGCTTCCCTTCTACCCTATGTGTATGAGAGAAATGAATAATTCAGTCACAGAATGGTTTGGGTGGGAAGGGACCTTAAAGATCACCCAGTTCCAACCCCCTGCCATGGGCAGAGACACCTTCTTGTAAAGGTAAATACCACTAAGTGAGGTGGCTTTACTTTCAGAGGTGGTGCAGAAATGACTTTTCTCCCTAATTTCCTCTCTGATCCAGATCTCTTTCTACAGGTAATTAATCCTTGTAGTTCACTATTATTCTGCCAGATGATTTCTGCTGAACTGTCAAAAGCTTATTGACTTCACATTGCCTTCAAACTGGCTGGTACAGTTAGAAATAAAACTTGGTTATAAAAAATCAGGTTTCAAAACGGCTGACGCTGTCTGAGAAAGGTGCAGAAATACTGCGAAGGCAATTTATTGTTTCGACTTCAAAACCAGATTACATATTACCTTCTCATACACCCTGAACAAATCACTCTAAGCAAAGGCATATTGTGGTGATGATTTATGGCTTCATTTTCTAGGAGCTGGTATGCACTGAGATCTGGTTTGTGTTCCCTGGCACTGGATTCACTCAACATTGCAAATATTTCTCAAAGATGTCTTAGAAGATTTAGGAGCTTTAATCCCCCTTTAAAAAGTAATTAATGTATTTGTAAGGCTAAGGAGGAACTTACAGCTGTACCACATGTTTTGACAAGTTCCTGTCACTCAGCTGAACCGTAGTAGTGACAGCATGCATGCATTCTTTCTGCTTGTATCCTCAGTTTCACTGAAATTCAGTGTGACAGTTTCCCAATTTGTATACAGTTATGCAGGGCAAATGAGGTCACAAGAGCTCTATTTTTTTTTTCTTTTTATGTAAAAGCTGTTGATAGTTGAAATAATAAGCAGGAAATTATTAACATGTTTTAATTTCTTTTTTTTCCCTTAAAGAAAGTATGAAGCCAGTTAGATGACAATCTAACTACCTAGAGTTTTGAGAGGCCAGTCTGGCAAGCTGTACTTCAGTCCCTGGCTCTGTTACAGTGATACTCAGCGTCCTGTGTCTCAGTACAAAACTATAATCCTCGATTCCTTAAAACCATGTCCTTTGAGGCTTTGGATAGGCACAAATGTGGCTTCAGTTGTGTTCAGGCTTCAAAGTTGCCAAAGACAGTACAAAAGTATACACTAATGGCAGAGCTGTGACTATATTTTACAGCACGGTCTTTCTCTGATGGTCGGCCATATCTTGGCTGCTTAGGTTATGATGCACTCTTGTATTGTAAGATTTAGATTCTCAACCCTTCAGAAAGCATTGTATAAGAACATGAGAAGAGCTAAACCCAAAGACTCGCCTGTGCCAGCTCCCTGTCCATCATCCCTAGCATTTGGAGAAGCACAGGCGGTGGTGGATGCCTGGGAAGTGCATCAGTGCAGAGCAGCATGCAGTGATACTTCCTCGCGGGTCTTCCCACCCAGGTGTATCCCAAGGGAACACACAGAGTGACAAACCCAGGTAGGAGCTCTACATGCTGTGAGGGATTTCAGTGACTTGCCAGGAATGCAGAGTTCACAAAGATCCAGATGTGTTTATGTTCTGGTTTCCCTGTGAGCATCTGTTTATCTTCCCCAGTGCCTGTGACCTTTATCTGTTCACGTTAGTAGCCGTTCTGTCTTCTCCTCATAAAACTGCTTTATTCTTCCTTGTTGATGTCTCCAAGAAGAGCCATTAGCTTGTTTTGGGGACCAAGTGGTCTCCAGGGCTGCCACACATACTTGTGTGAAGTTGATCTATGGCCACCAGCTACGTTCCCACTCCATCCAGCACAGTTAGCATCAGCTTCTTCCGTATGAATGCTCTTGGATACTTTAACAACACAGCTGGACTTAGGGGAAGCCGCAGTGCTGAAGGTATCACAGTGATCTTTGGAGAGGAATTCTTTCTTGCTGTGCCCCTGTGGAGTTTCTCCCCTGTGGAATGGTTTGAAGAAAAAAAGAAAAAGAAGTAAACTTTACAGACAATCCTATGGAGACTGAGAGAAGTTGGTTCAATTACATAAAGAGCTCAAGAGGACTTTAAAAAAGAAAAAAAATACAGAAATACAGAGACCGTTTTTGGTGATTCAGGAGCGATTCAGGGAAGGCGTGGAGCCCGACATGAACCTCGCTGCAGACTCCGGGTGTCCCACAGCCCGAAGCCTTGTAAACCCTTCAGGATATACTCATTTGAAGTGTGTGCTGCACTCAAAATCTTTTTCCTGTTTATGTGAAATAGTCTTCATTTCCAGGTTTATGTAGTTTCCTAAAATGTCTGTTCTTACCCCAAAAATATAATTTCTCTGTGAAAATACAGCAAACGTGTATTTATGTGCATAATTTCAATTTCCAGGGGTTCTTTTAGGCTGTGGAATTTGTTAAGCAGAGCTATGTAAATATATATATATATTTCTGATTTTCTAGCTGAACCAAAAGCCTGAAATTTAATTCGGAATCATGCTAAGTCAGGAATACAAAACCAAACACAGCTGGCTCTGTTGGGGGAAAAAAAAATAATCCTTTAAAAGGTGTAAGAATGGTTTTTGGGGTGTTGTTCGGTACTTTAAACGTTCTTTAAATGAAATGTGGTGGGATCCTTCGGAGGCATTGCCAGGAAGAGGAGCAAAGCTGCCTTTCCTCACCTTTTTTGCACTGCCCGTGGAGGGAGGCGGCTGCGGCAGGAGCACAGCCCTGCGTGCAGCCTCGCCTGGGATGGGCGGAGCGGGGCTCCCGTTAGATGTCACCTCAAAACAACGTTCCTCGCAATGTTAAAAGCCTCCGAAGGACGGGATTTGGTGTAAGGGATGGGATTTTTCGCTGTTGCTGCCGGAGGAAGGCGGCCTCCCGGCAGCAGGGAAGGCGGGCGGGCTGCGAGTCCCCGGCACCCCCGGGGGCGGGGGCGGGGCGGCGGCGGGGGGGGGCTGCGGCGGGGGCCGCGGTGCCAGTGACGGCTGTGTTGCAGATCTTCGAGTGGTGGTACTTCCGCAAGTACGGCACGTCCTTCATCGAGCAGGTCTCGGTGAGCCACCTGCGACCTCTGCTGGGCGGGGTGGACAACAGCGCGCCCAGCACGGCCAACGCCGCCGGCGGCGAGGCGGACTCCAGCCGCCAGAGCGTCTCAGGTGAGGGGCGCTGTGCTGGTGTCACCCCCCGCGGGACCCCGGCCCTCGGCGCTGCCCGTGGGGAGCCAGGAACCGGCCCCCAGCAGCCAGGAGCCAGCCCTGAGGAGCCAGGGGTCAGCCCTGAGGAGCCAAGGGCCAGCCAAGTGCCTCCTGCACAGGGCTGCCCCATTAATCCCTCGCCCTGACCGACGCCACTCGCTCAGGCTGAGGTGCTGAGGTGGCGACTTGCTCCCCTCCTGAAGCCCCCCCGCATGCCTTACGCTTGCTCTTTTTGCCATATCGTTTCTAAAGGCTTTTCCTTTTAGTTCTTTCCAGGAATTAAAAGCACATATAAAAATACGGGAAGCACATTGTCAGAAATGATCAGAAAAACTGATTGCCCATCTGCTACTTTGCTTCATTTTTTAGATAATGTGAGCAGTAAGCGAGCAGCATTCTGATTTCCCTTCAGCAAGCAGAAGCACAGTGGCTCTTACTAGCCTAAGGGCTTGTTCCATTCCCGGCTCTGCTGCTGAGTTGCTTGGTGGCTTTGGGCAAGTCCTAACGCAGCCGGGTTTGAAACAGAGGCCTCCAGTTCAGGGTGCCTGATTTCAGGCATTTGGGATAGATTTGCCTGAGCTTTCACAGCTCCTACAAAATTCAGTGGGTGCTGCCAACCAGGCTGATGGAGTCTGAGTCTGGGCAGTTCAAGTCTCAAAAGCAGTCCATGACGTGCTGGGGCCTCGTTTCTAATGCACCTAATTATTCTGAATGAACATAGGGTTTAGGAGGTGTGTCGACAGCCTTACATGAAGGGTAAAAACGTATGAGCTGTAATTTTTGTTACACACTTCTGTTTAATTATAACGAACACGCATATATTTGCTCCGGTGAAAAAGACAATATTAAACCAGGAGTAGCGAGCTCTGACACCTCGCAGTGTAACAGCCAGCTGTGTCCTGCCCCAGCTCTCCCACAGACCAGCCATCTCTGCAGGTCTCCTAGTCCCCCTTACCGAGCCAGGACCGCCGAGGAACAGCCCTCCTGAGGTGCATCAGCCCCTGGAGCACTGATCCACCAGGGCTGGCCGGGGATCCCGGGGAGCTGACGGCCCCGCTTGGCTGCCTCTGCTGCCTGGGGCATGGACTGAGGACCACAAGGGGTGAGGAAGCTGTGACAGACTCAGGTGTCTGTCTCGAGCTGTAGATACTGCTTCAGAAGTCAGGGCAGGGGTCTCACTGCTTTGCTTTCCTCATCTGTAAAATGAGGTTTAACTGTTTCAGCCTAAGCTGGGCACAGAGATTGTAATATTGGAAATTAATTCAGCTTTCAGTGGCGATGTGACCCCAGAGTCAATTAGGCTACACTTAAATTTGTTTCCTCTACAGGCTTTTAAAATATATCAGAATTGACTAATGAGGAAAAGACAAAAAGAACAAATTCAGTTAAAAACAACACATTGTTTAGCAACTGAGGTACCTCTGTCTGTACCTGGCAACTTCTGCTCATCAGTGCTCATGAAAACAAGCAAGCAAAAATTAGCTTTGAACTCACAAGTTAAATAAAGTAAGTGGCCTCAAAAACCCTTGCTCTCTGCTGGATATTCCCACTTGGGGAAGCCTCCATATAGCACTGCAGATTCAGCTGCTGTCATTCCCATCTGAGGAGAGGCCACGAATAGCAGCGCTGCGTGGTGCAGGATATTAGATTTGGGTGAACGGGGTGGCGTGGAAACACCTGTGTGCACTCATCAGTGTGTGCTGTCACACTTCAGCAACTCCGAAATAACTCCCATCATTTTAAAGCAGAAGGCACAGTATTTTGACTAATGAGGTTCACCCAAGCATCTTGACTTTCCTGATACCAAGAAGCAGTCAGGGAGTGGGTTTACTTTCAGTGCACAGGCTCTCGCTTCTACAAATTCCTCCAACAGTGTCTTTGTACAGTGTGTCTGTACAGAAAGCCTGCTATTCATGCTTCCAGAAAGATACCAGTGCTCAAAACGTGACCATTGAGTCAGGGCCTGAAAGAGTAATATTCAAGAAGTCTGTATTGCCTATACAAAATAAGGACACAGTTATAGTGTGTTACTAGTTTGTAATGTAACAGAAAAGGCAACCTTTTGAGTCTGTCAAGCGTCCATCCTGGGATATTTCTTTCACTATTCAACAAGTTGAAGATGGCTTTTTCACTTGGTTCACCATGTTTTCCTACATAGATGTTTGACTGTTGTAGAATATCGCAGTAGATAAGTTCATCGTCAGAAAGTCTGGAAGAATTATTTGGAAGATTATTGCACTGAAACCATGGTATCAGCAGATCCCAAGACAAAAGCAACAAAGAGCTCATCGTGTTTAACTACCCAGACAGATGCCAAACTACCCCCAGGACAGGAGGAGGTGGTAATAAAAATGCCTTCTTCACCTCTCCTTTGTGTTCCCCAGCCCCCCTCCCCCTGCTACAGCATGGAAGTGCCGTGCCCACACAAAGCAAAAATTTGAGTAAGATTAGCACGATGAATGGTATCACTGCCATCAAATAGTTGTTGGCAAATCTTATTTATTGCAAACAGAGTAAGCCAAGCCTTTGAATGGTACCTCTGGAACTATTAAACCTCTGAGGAGGCTGATATTAGTTTAATATTTACTATGGATTGCAAGTCCCAGTATGTGAGAGCTGTCAGATTGAAGCTTGACAAAGAGCCGTGCCCTTGGGCTGTACAGGCCAGCAGCTGAACATTGATCGAGTGCTTCTGTGAGCAAACCAATGGAGCTTTCCGATACTGGCTACACGATGAAGTGGTTAGCCGAAAGATGCAGGTGTACAGTCACTCCCTGTATTCTTCCCAGCCACCTTCCCTTTCCCATGTCGGTGTTTGATGCTCATGTTATTCCGTGCAGGGCTCAAGCTGAGAGCCCACCACCACCTCTGCCATTTGACTAGTTTTTGTGGAGTTGCAGGTGTTACATTCCTACAAATCCTTTACGTAAAATGCTTTCCCTCCTTGCCACTTGAGCTTCATGCTCAGAAGTGAGAGCTAGGTCCATGAACACAGACAAAGGCTTCACTTGTCATTTTGAGTTTGTCCCTTGTTTTAATGGACCAGACAGAAACTTACCAGCATTGTATGAAGCAGGGTGGGTACCCTGCCTGAAAACTGATGCAGATCTCTTTAGAAATGATGTTACTGAACCTCATTGGGAAAAACGTGCTGGTTGGTTTTTGGTGATGGAAAGCAGACGGTAAAATGCTGCAAGTCCAATGCTGCTGATGGGCTTTTGCAGAGCACTGAATGAGGGTCATCCAGGAACAGATTTGTGGTGAAACAACAAGTCTGTGCTGCAAATACTGGGTTTGATCCTGGTTTCACTTTCACAGGAGTGAATTGTCTTTGGTGAACTCAAGAGAACAGATCTGGTGTTAAATTAAAGCAAGAAAAGCTATAATTAAGACCTCAGCTTTTCAAAAGCTATAGAAACCGATTTTTTTTTTTACAATTCTGTTCTAAATGATGTTGTTGTGGATTATTTTTTTATCTCTTCCTACCTGTACCATGAAGAATTTTATTTCTTTTTCCCTGAGAGAAGTAGATGAAATGTTTATCGTGTTCTCAAACCTTTGCAATGAACTTTTCTCTGCCAATCAACTTGATACTACTTTGTCAGCCCTGGGATTCTTAAGGAATTTAAGTAAGGTCAGCAGATGTTGCGATGGATAAGCTAAGGAAGAATTAAAACTGGCAGTTGCAGCTGAGATTCTCAGTGATTTACAGTATCAACCAGGCAGCGCGGTTTTTCTGTAGAAATAACAAGTCCATAGGGATGGAGTTAATTGCTGTTTTTCAGTGCAGTAACCCAGTGTGAGCCCTTTTCAGATCTGCCATATGGTAAATGTGAGTCCCAGCACTAATTGGTATTGTCTTTTTCACCTGGCATTTGGAGCGTTGTTGGGGTTATTTGTCTGGAATTACATCATTTGTTAACACTAATTTATAGTGAAATTATTACTTAAAAAGGGAAGAACAATCTGCTTACCTGCATCTCTTATTCTCTTTATTTTTTCATTTCACACCTATAGAAAATAGAAGTTAATTAAAGCTCATTAGAAGGTAACTGATGTTTCTATTAAACCTCAAGTTGCATTTTAATTTGGGAGAGATTCATTATTGTCTGTTTCTGTTTATGACAGAATGCAAAGTCTGGCGAAATCCTTTAAATCTGTTCAGAGGAGCTGAATATAATCGGTAAGTGCTGTGATGTTACAGCTTCAGGTATGGTACCTGGTTAAGGGCCTTAATCGTACATTTCCATTAATCCAACTCAGGGATGCAAAAAGAGACACAACTGTGGACACCTGTGCTCTTACCAGTTTTTTTTCTGTCATTTGTAAAATGTTTCTCAAAGAAAAGGAATTTAAATTCATGCACTTGGTATTTCTGTCATTTTTTTGGTATCCTTAGAAAAACCAGAACACCTAAGTACAGTGTAGCTGGTGCGCTAATATAGTAACTCTGTTCAAATCAGTTTTAGTAAACAACCTAATGAATAATATCTAGGTTTTCCATAGTCTTGATGCTTGAACACGTGTGTTATAGATTGCCAGTAAGTACTTTCCAACGTCCTCATTAGCTCATGTTCAACTGCTGTTGCTCCATCACAGTACAGTGAAATGCAGTTGGTTTGAAGATTGGCTAGCGTTTCATTTCTAACATCTCAGACTCTACTTTTCTGTAGGTTTTGCTGAATGTGACCTCATTAACCAAACTGTCTCTCTGTTGACATGTTTGCAGGTATACGTGGGTAACAGGGAGAGAACCCTTGACTTACTACGATATGAATCTTTCAGCACAGGACCATCAGACATTCTTCACATGTGACACGGATCATTTACGGCCTGCAGATGCTAGTAAGAGATGTTGTGAGCAACCATTTTTGCTAGTAGGTTAATGATTATTTTGAACTGCTGCAGAAAAAATGCAGTCAGACATCAGTTCTCTCAGGTAGATTAAGAAAGGTAAAGTTTAATCATACCTGGAAAGCTGTTGCTGTGGTACTATGCTAGATCTGTACAAGTATCTATATAGGAATACGCTATCAAATTTGTGTCACTATTTTGTTCTAGTTTCTTGCTGAAGTCATTCAAGGTACCACTTACAAGTGTAAAGCTTATGTTTTCCTCCTGTTTCTTGCAGTGGCTTCAAACAGATAGAGCTTAATTTGCCTCCAGCTGCAGTGTAGTATACTGAGTTACATTATCCAGGCCTCATTTAGTCTCTGCTGACAGAGGAGAGCTTGTGTAAAACCTGAGTCCTGTGTTTCATACCCTGCCACAGTTAGAAACGCTGTAAAATGATAATTAAATAAATAAAAGGAACAACACACTTAGAGCTGAATTTGATATAAGCAGATTTAGTGGCATTAAGCCTTTACCGTTAAGTCCACGTGCAGATTTTGGTTCAGCTAAAGTGCACAACAGTGATTTTGATCATCAGAATTTGCATCTGAAGAGACAAATCTTAGGATCTCTTAAGAAAGGAGACACACTGGCAGTTGGGCGCAGTATTCTGAGGGCATAATTACAAAGGAGAACACACTGTGCTTTTTTGACACAGGAGAAACATGAATCCTACTTTCTGAACACTGTGGGCTAATTACAAGGTGGTCCAACTAGCCTGGATGTTGTTTCCATTCAACGTGCTCCTAAAGCAACAGCACATTAAGGAACTGGAATAAGAAACCCATCTGTCCTTGTTTTCTGTTGTGCCCCATGGAATCTACCTCCCCCAGATGAAAAAGCTGCTTACCCTCTCTGCATGTAACAATGCAGATGGCATGATTTCTCAGTCAGACTTTTTCATGGAAAAAAGGTGAATTAAATGAAAGAATAAGGCTGAGCATCTGGGGCAGAAGCTCACATTGATTATATATCTTTTGAGTGGTCACTGAGCTCTTTGAAATGCTCTGGAGTGAGTCAGGCTGAAAACAGTAAATTCTGTTGTTATAATGCAATAGATTCTCCTTGTTAATGCTGTAATGATTGATATACCCCTTGTCTGCTTGGTTTGTTGAATAGTAATGCAAAAAGCCTGGAGAGAGAGAAACCCTCAAGCCCGAATTTCTGCAGCACATGAAGCTTTGGAATTGAATGAGTGAGTGACAACAAAACTTGCATTTATTTTCTGTCATTTAAAAATCCACTTGATGATAGCTTAAGGCAGGGGGGTTGCTACAGTAATTTTTAACCATGATTACAGGCCTGTCACAGGAAGCCCAACAATGGGAGGAAAAAAAAACACAGCTGCATGTTGTGCTAGCCACACAGAAGATCCTTAGGGCACTGGTGACAATGGGGAGTCTTCCCACTGATGGCAGTGGGCTTTGGGCCCTGTGTTAGCATAGCAAAGTGTTAATTAAGTCGCCTCCTGATGAGTTTATGATGATATGTTTATTTGTGGGATGGGGACAGGAGAGTTCCCTTTTGGATTTCTCAGTTGTCCTGAACAGAAGCAAGAAGGAGGGGACTCATAAACACCTTTTGAAATATTCATTTGATAGTGTGAGGGAACATGTAGTACTTCAGGACTTACTTTCTTTGAGTCTGTTATTTATTTTCTCAATCAGAAATGTATCATTCTGGGATCCCACAGTAAACTCAGTGCTCTGAAGCTTTACTGGCATGGCAAACTATACAAATGCTGCCAAAGTGCATCAGGCAGAGACTCCCTTAGGTTGCTGTCTGAGATTACCACATTCTAGAGTTTTATAAACTGATGCCTTACAGATTGCCCTTCACTTGTTTCGTTAGAAGGAAAAAACAAACAAACAAACAAACACAACTGTTTGTGCCTGGACAGCAGTTTAATCGAAGGAGCATATAGCAGAAGAGGCTATTGCTTGCAGTGAGCTATACGCCTATTCATTCTACTTACATATGGAGTCTCATTTTTACCCAGACCTGTTGTTTCCTATTCCTCAAGTGATGACTGTGTGAAACACGATTAGAGATGGCAGCAGCAGCCTGATTCTGTTTCTGTATAAAGCAGAATCTCATCAGTAATGAGCTACTTGTATCAGACAGAAGTCAACAGCCTATATCCCATCTAATTTCAGCTGTTAAAGCTGGGCCATCGAGTCTCAAGTAGTTACCTAGGCTCCCTCTATAGTCAATGAGAGAGACATCTCAATTCAGCAGCTCACCCTATTCGTAAAGAGAGATTTAAAGAGGTGAAATGAATGGCTTTGTGGTTTTACTCCTTAATAGACGAGGAGCACAGATAATTAAAAATTCTAAATTGTCAGAGTATTTAAAAAGGTTTGTGAGAACAGTATATCGACAAAACTCCTTTGCCTCTGTAATTGGTACATCCTTTAAAGTCTGCATGGCTTTTTATTGTTTTTACTTCAGGTACCTTTTTCACAGTTCTTCCTCTGACATTTTTTGCAGATGTGCCACTGCCTATATTCTCTTGGCTGAAGAGGAAGCTACAACAATTGTAGAAGCAGAGAAGCTGTTCAAGCAGGCTCTGAAAGCTGGAGAGGGCTGTTACAGGCGCAGCCAGCAATTGCAGCATCACGGTGCCCAGTACGAAGCCCAACACAGTAAGTTTCATTGGAGGGAATAGCTATTTCTAAAAAGGGAGAAGTCTAGGGGTTTGTTTTGTTTTTTTTTTTTGTTTTTTCCCCTCTCAGAACTGTGCACTCAGTATATTGTCTGGAATGTGGTCCTAGAGCCACATGCCTAGAGCCAACAGAATATCCTGTTTCAGTGTTTTTGCCTGATTCTGTTACTGAGTTGGCAAGTACTGAGATTACAGATGCATCTTTTCTGTCGTGGCAGAAAATATGTAGCATTTACTTAATAGAAAGGAGAAGGCTGCAGAGCCAAAAGAGGTTTGATACTCAGAAAATGATGGAGAGTGATTTAGGAAGTTGCACCGAAATGCCTTTAGCTGTTTTGAAAACATAAGCTCATGCAGTAAAAACAGTAAAGAATGATGCAAATGGGACCAAAGTGCTTTGCCAGCTTTGTCCATCAGCTGTGTGAAAGCTAATGAGACCCATTCACCAGGGTGACATTTGAAAAGCTAGGTGCATTCGTTAAGAAAGGTCACAGAAACATAAAAATTAACAACTGGAATAATTTAGTGCTGTAATTAAAAGTCTAGTTTTTTAAAGTTCTGAGTGCGGAGATGTAGGTGCTGTAATGATATTTACTGGGTGTTTCTTAATTCCAAGAAAATAGATGAGTGTTCACTGCCGGTAAATGAACAAAAAGATAAATAAAGCAAACAGATCTAGATTATTTTTAATCTACAATGGCTACCTCAGGCAAACGTAATACCAATGAATTGCATAAGTACAAGCACGGACATATTTGGGGTATCTGTAAGTTTCTCAGGACATGAATTCACAGCCTCTAGCTATTCCACATAAGTCAAAGATTGCTGATAAAAACTGTGCGCAGTGAAATTGTCTGTCATCTGTGGTCTCAGAAATGCACACAAGTTTATACCTGAAAGCCTGAGTTTTTATAAATCTTGGGGGTAGTATTTTAAACATTTGTTGGATATCAAATGATATTTTGGATGATACATTTATGATGATTTGTTTATTTCTGGAGAAAAACAAATGGAGAGCAGCTGAGCCCTTGAAGCAGTTTTCAGGTTCTAGCAGGCTTATGGTTGTCCACAAAATCTTGATTTGTGCACTCAATCCATCCTAAGCACAGAAAATGACAGCAGTTCTATGAAAAATACACAATAAGAGTGATAAAAGACTGTCATGATGCTTATCCTGGTGAGCAAGGTGTCCAAGATATCCTGATTAAGTTTGTGCAGGCAAATGTAAGTATGGTACCTTTGTAACCTGTGCGTGCTAGATGGTACGTATCACTACCATCAGCATCCAGTTTGACACCCTGAACCTCCAGCATTACAGCAGAGTAAGCAACCAGCTGAATCACAGAATTAAGTACGCTGCCACAGAGCAGGAAGGGCTGAAAAGTGATGGCCACCTCTGACCATTGCTTGGTAGAAGGGGTAGACTGTCCCACTCCTCTCCTCTTCCACCAATAACCTCAGTGAGCACCTACAGAAGTTAGAGAAGTTCCAGTCTCAAACGGTGCCTTACACACAAGAGCTTCGTGTAGGGTTCCTTACATTATATGCTGGACTTGCATGGCTAAAAAGGTGGGCAGCTCACATTTCTTCAGGAAAACAAGGACCATGGATAAATATGTCTGTAAGGAGACCACAGTTCCTTTCCTCGTCTTGCAGTTACAACATGGTTCTGAAATATCTGTTGTGCCATCTCTAGTCCTTCAGGTTGACCTTGGGATGAAAAGAGGTGTTTCATCTTTAAGGAGTGAAAAACACTGTAATTTTTGAACAACAGCTTATTGTCCCATATTTCTGTATACTCGTGTATCTTTCATACACTATCTTACATTAGAGAATGAATTTTAAGAGTAGATGCAGACTTTGGGTACCCAATTTAACCTCTTTCAAAAGATGCTGTTTTATAGAAGGTGCAGACAGTCTTCTTTTTAAGGTGGCTTACGTTAGTCACCCCAAATCATTAGTCACCTCTGAAAACTTTGGCCTGAAAGGTTGTCTTGATTTCACAAGTATAAATGTGTTTTGACCATTCCTTCTGAAATGTCTGGAAGGGAGCGTGGCCTGAAATTTATAACTCTTGGTTACACTATATAAACATATCGAAACAGATGTAACTAATAAATTGTTTATTAAATATATAGAAAACAATACAGAGATAAGGAATTACATAATATAAAATATAGCTAATGAAATTCCTTCCCTCCCTTATTTATTTTCTCTTCTCAAGTCAGACCGTTCAGCCTGCTGCTTGATCTATCTGAAAATTGTAATCACAGCTTTAAAACAATTTGTAGGCACTTGGAATGTGTTCAGCACACATCTTGTTCTTATTATGAAAGACTTCAAAATGTTAGGAACAAACGAATCTTTATAGACTGCATAGTGTACATGAAGATAATTTGTAGCAGGTGTCCTATATTTTCTGGATATGGTAATTCTATAGCTGATTACCTGTCTGCACATTTCCTGTTGGTCCAGAAGCACGTTAAAAGTTCACATTGAAATTACAGGGAGAGGATGAGAAAGCAAGGATCACCAAAGGAGTAAGAATTCTCCAAGAGACTTACTCCTGTAGCTGGTTAGTTTCTGTCTTCTTTGTTGTCAGGGCACCTTCCAGCGTATCGGATTGTCCTATCTGAAAGATGCTAATTTGCAATCCATAATTAGCTGCATGAGGAGTTTGAAGATGGTGACAAGATAAGAAGTAAAGGCTCAGCGAAAGGGAGGGTCAGGGTGTACTTATAATCAGTAGGTAAAAAGACTGGTGGAGTGCAACTGAGGATCTGATTTGCTGCATCTCCTATTAACACGTGTACAACTTACAAAAAAAGGCAGTTAAGACACACGTAGTTTCATGGATGCTGTTGTTTAAACCAAATATGTGAGTTGGTAAGTAATTTAATGCTGTCTGTATAACCACAGAGTTTTTGTGTCAGTGTTAGCTTCATAGGGGTTCCCCTCCCCTGCCTGATTACTTGATGGTCTGTCTAATATCCTACAGTGCTCTCTACCTTCAGATCCACTTACATTTCATAGGTGTACAGCTAACGTGTGGATCCTTATTTAAACCACCATATATCCAGAGTAATTCCACTGATTTTAATGGTTATGTCACATTTAAGTCAGCTGAATTTGGTAACTTCTTATTACATGATAGCAAATAACAAAAAAAATGTTTAGAAAACTGTTTCCTTTTGTGTTAGAATATCAAATGAATGTATTTTTTAAAATATTTTTAATCTTAATTATGTCATTATTAATTGTGTCAATTATGTCTCTTTACTTTTATGCAGGAAGGGACACCAATGTGTTAGTTTATATTAAGAGGAGGCTGGCAATGTGTGCAAGAAAGCTGGGAAGGACCAGAGAAGCAGTGAAAATGATGAGAGATGTGAGTTTTGATTTTTTGTTTGTTTTGCCTTGATATGTAGGTAATAGCAGCACAGAGATGATATGCACTTGCTTACAAGTTAGCACCCACTCCTGCAGCAGGCAGTACTGCTGAAGATCATTTTGTATGTGTAGTGTACATAAAGACTAAGTTAACAGATCATTTATAAGATTGCAAAAACAATACTATGAAATCACAATGCCAGAGGGATGGTTGCCCATACAGACTGAATTTCCCGTCCTGGTATGTGTGCATTAGAATGCAGTCTTTAATTATTTGATCATAAAGTTACGTAACTTTTTTTTTCCCCTGAATTCTCCCTCTTCCACTAGGACATGTAATGAATGCAGCAAACTTAATAAATATGTCTTAAGTATTCTGTTTTCTCTTACAAAGCTGCAGTTTGGCTCTGTCATTGTTTGTCACACTACACAGACCTGAGGACAGTGTTATTTATTCATGCAAAACCTATTACTGAGATGTCAAGAACAAGTAACCCTTCTTGTTTGTTACAATCTGTAACAAACTGACTTCTCCCCTGAGAGGGAGGAAGATGTATGCCAAATTGTAGGCTATAAATTCGAAACCTCAAGCAGTAGCAATGTGGGGGGTGGCAGGAAGGGCAGCAGACTCCAGGAGGCACTGTACATGATCCAAGTGTGTAAAAGGCTCGGCGTTAGAGTTAGCTAGGAGTGCTCAGCGTTTCTTCAGGTGGGGCATCCTGCATGCAGATTAGGAACACAGTTCTCTGAGGAGGTGACTTGCCTCACCCACGGCAGCAAGTCTGCTTCAGTGATCGTTTTTGAAACCACTGAGCAGAGTTCGTGATGCTAGTCCTCATCCTAAATAATCTGCCAGATGGCAAGTGGGAAGCAACTTTCACTTCATGTCTCTTGCCGAGGTTTTTCGGACACACAGCTCGCAGCTGTCACTCCCCCAGAATCACCAGGCTCCCAGTTAGAGGTGTTGAAAAAGAACTTGTCGAAACCAAACTGTTGTACAGCTAGAAAGAGGAACGTGGAGGAAAGACCTGGGTTTGCAGCCTTGCGGTCAAGGCAGTCAGCTGGGAGAAAATGTTGTTTTCAGTCCAGTCAGCTCCACGATTATTTATGAATTTTGTTACACAGGCACACTGGAATCAATGCTGTACGAAATGTAGGTGGAAAAGCGTTGGAATTCTAACTTCTGGCACTAATATACAAGAAAGATATGATCTTGAATTTCACATTCAAATGTCACACGTCGTAATTATGGCAACTTCTGGAGCTTACTAGGGGCTGCTGAATGTGTTTGGTGATTTGTAGATAGGGCTATGTCAAACAGTGAACCCTTTTGTGAACCCTTCTGCAGCTGATGTCAATATATATGGCTAGCAGCGTGCAGAGTACTGGATTCGGGGACTCAGGTCCATCCAGTCCTAGGTTTCTTACGGAAAGTGAGACCCAGAACACTTTGGTTATAAGAAATGGGTTATTCTGTCACTAGAGAGAAAATTGGGTGGTTTTGAAGTTAAGTATAACGTGGCAAGTGACAATGACAGGGAAACCCAAAGTCATCATTTGTTAGGCACTGGAAGGACTGAAAACACTTTCCTCAGTAGAAACATAAAATGGATCATTCTGTGATTCTAACATCATGCTGAAACAAAAGGACTGGATGCAAGACAAAGGAGGTAGAAAGACAGAATGTCAGCTTCTAGAGCTTCAACTCAGATCAATGCATTCGGTATTTTTCCACAGACACTTAGCCAAATCCTCAGAACCACATTTAAATGCCTCTAGAGACCTTTGTTGTGATTGAGCAGAGCTGAGAATTAGCAGGTCCCTAGGTGAAATATAAAAGCAACAGTACCTCAGGGTCACATCTCCAGTCCATTAAAAGCATGAGTAGGGTCACACCAGCTTTGCAGACGCTTTTCTTAGACTGACATGGAGCCATTTATTTCTGATGAATGCATAGCCACCATTTTTTCATGGATGACATAAATAATGCATTTATGAAGAAGTTTGAACATGAATGTGTCATTGGTGGTTTCTGCGTGATTGATGAGGGAGGAGATGGATTTATTCACCCTAAGAAGAATATGAAGAATAAGTTGGCCGGGGACTGCTGAATCCAGCATCAGGGGACAGAGGGTGGAGGCCTTGTTTGTGTTTGAGAGATTGAAAACAGATTTCTCAAGACATGGAACATGATGGAAATGAAGTGTTAAGAGGTTCATGACACCATCTGGGAAATATGATTGGGATGTAGTGAGTCTTTGCCACTTTGAAAAAATAAAATATTTGAGAGTGTTTAATTCGTTGCATATATAAGGCCATCTTGAGGACATTACTGATGGATTACATTGTCTTATTTTAATTTTATGTCAGAAAAGAGAGAGATCCTGCTTAAAACACCTTAATGGAAAGAAAATGAGTTGGTGGTGGCTTTAATAAGATTTGGGGTTATTGGTTATATATGCTGCTGTTAGGAAAATACCATTCTTTGGCATTTTATTAAAGATACTCAAAAACAGTGATTTGTTAGGAATTTGACGCTTCTGTAATCAATTTTGAGGAAGCACTGTGGTGTTGGCTTTGCTGCTTTGATCTCATTCATTTAGCTGAGCTGAATTGCTCAGAGTCAGTAAGCTGTAATTGCCATGGCGATGTGTAGCTGAGGCACACATAGGTGTTCTGCCTTTGTTTGTGTTTGTGATGATAACTATTTACTATGCTTCGCTATAGAAACCAGCAGCTGTCACTATTTGTATGGACGGAGTTAACTCGTGACCTCATTTTGATTAGCGTGCGGCTGGAGTAACTCCAGCCCCGTCACCAGAGTTACCCCGCTTTTATTCCTCCTTACGCAGAGCACGGTGCGGTGTGCGGGGGAACCAGATCTCTCGTCCTGTCCCGGAGGAAAAAGCCTGCGCTGCTGGTTGGTTTATTTCTTGGGCTGATGATGTCAGGACGATTTAAAGCGGCGTGTTCCAAATGGGGTTGGAGAACCTGGGGTGTGCAGAGGTGAAAGGCCGTGGTGGCGCTGGGAGGAGCCTCCGGTATCCCGTCACCGTTACATCTTCATTGGAGATAATGCTGAAAGACAAACCAGGTGCCGAGGAGCGAGGGTAGCTTTCTGTACCAGCTGCTGTCTGTCTGCTCAGTTCCCTCACCTTCACAGTGGATGAAAATCAGTGTGCTGGGCTTGTGGTTTGTGTTTTCCATCGAATGAAAGCAGAGGGGGTGTGGAGGGTACGCAGAGGCCCTTCTTTCTGTACTTTGAGAGTGGCTGTGCTGCTGAATTTCCCTGGGTCTAGCTTCTTAGGATTGTTCTGGGGAAGATTTGGGCTGTGGAATGAGCAGGCTGTCACTGAAGGGCGATGTGTGCTTATGAAAGAGAAGGGAGGCAGGCAGAAAGCGTGCTAGGGGATGAAGCGAACTCCTCTCAATCACTTTCAGGGAGATGAAACAAACTTGCTCCCTGGAGCATTTTTATCTCCTACACCTGCACTTCTGTGATAACTGCTTTCTGGTCTTAACAAGTATAGTTACTACCTGCTCATCAAGAGCAGCCCTGCAGAGAAGGACCAGAGGCATGGCCAGCAGGTCAAGGGAGGTGATTGCCCCCCTCTGCTCTGCCCCTGCCGGGCCCCACCTGGAGCACTGCGTCCCGGTGCAGTGTCTCCTCATTGCAGGGTCAGAAATGCACACTTTCTTTCTGGGATCAGTGATGTCTGCTGAGAAATTACTCTTCAGTTCATTTTTAAAGGACCTAGAAGTTTACTGTTATGGACCTAGCTCTGAGAATCTCGCTGAGGATATTTCAAGCCGGAGGTGTTTGTGTTCATCTCAGTGCCCAGCTGCAGTAGCTAATTTTTAATTATTTTTTTTTGCCAGAGAAGATACCAAGGGGCTGTCAGTGTCTAAGCAGCTTGCAGTGCTAGAGAGCTGCTTGAATATCAGTGTGCCGCTTGATAAGCTGTTTAAACACTGAGGCTGCCCTGAACTTTTCAAGTGGTTTAAAAGGTTATGCCATTTGGAGGCATCAAAATGGTACTCAGCCATGCTGAATCTATTTTAATGATAAGGGGAGGTTGGGTTTTTTATCTTTGTATCATCAGCAGCACTAGTGATTTTTGTTGGTGTGCCAGTTCTTCAGATCTAGCGTACTTCCTTGGCAACCTCTTTTACTGGACTTTGAATGCTGTTTTTCATTCAACATTATCTTGAATTTTCTGTTTCTGTGTGCATTGCTGAGTGCTCTTGGGTAAGGGGAATACATAACCAGAACGATTTTCTGTACTTTGTGTCATCAGGCAGTGTGAAAGGAAAGAGTTCTGACTGCTAATAGAGATGTTCTGATCCCTAGCAACTCAACAATGCAGCTTCTGCAGCTGTTTGCACCCACAGCTACTGTCTGTCTCTTCCAAATACTTCTGCGCTTTAGGCAAGGATTAGTGAGTCAGTCTTTGGCGCGCGTTACACAGGTCAAGTGAAGCAGGCTTCCTTTGCCTTGAGTGGAATGCTAGCTTTGTGAAAATCTGTAGCATCCATTCAACGTGCCATTTATTACAATTTGAAGCAGAAATTCTTCTGAGTTCAAGAAGACCAAGAGCTACCTCATGAATTTCAGAGCAGCACTGCTCATGTGAGCAGCGACGTTTGCCAGCCTCCACCACAGGGAAGGATCTTTGGTTAACTCCTGTTCTGACACACAAATGCTGCAGTAACAGCAAGTGATAAACACTGATTTCTAACAGTGAAAACACTTCCACATGCCTCTGTATTCAAACATGTTTTCTTCTGTAACAGCTGTGCACAGTGTGGATAAACTGGGGGGAGGGAAGATGAGGACATCTTTCATCTGGATGGGATCTTACACAAAATGGAGACTCCTGTGACTGCCCCAGTGCTGTTGGTCCTTTCACTCCACCTGCGAGTCAGAGCCCTCACTTTCTGTCATGCCTGTCATCCTGTGCAAAACCCTCAAAACTAGAAATTCAGTGTCTGTAACCT